AAAGAGTCTATCTGGGCTTTTATAAATCTGGGGAATGAGAGACCTCTAGTAGAGATAACTGTGAAAGAATGGAGTTAGTTAGGTGTCACTAAAATACATTATAACCCTTTACAGTAGCCAGTCGGCTCTTTAAAATCCCTTACAATGAGTTCATATCGGTGACACTACATGCAATTAGTATTAGGAATTCAATGTCACAGTGCCCTGAGGTGTATCTACAATGTCTCCTCATTTGAATCTTTAATGGGCAAAGAGGAAGCACCTGGAATAAATACAAAAAGTTTATTTCAGTAAGAATTTCAGTACAGTCCAATGAAGAAGAAGTGACAGAAAGTTGTGGGAAAGGGGAGAGAAGTTTAGTATTTTGGCATATTGTACTTACTTTAAGTGAGTTAGCTCTGCAAAAAATGCTAGAAACAGCTAGCCTTTGTCTGATCAAAGAAACAAAACTCACCATCCTCTATAGGTCACTGATTAACATACTTTATCAAATCCTAACCCTGTGTTCAATCCACAGACTCTATGTAAAATATGGGCGAAAAAATTAGGTTAATGAAAAAGTTACTTAAACCTGCACTACTTCTAACAGCCAGAAGGGGGCGACTCCTCTGTTTGAGAAAAAAAATCTAATTGCATAGACGTCTATGAGAAAATGGCCCCACTTCTCACTTAATTTGCTATCTTAGTCATCATTTTGTTCAGTGACTTTATGGTCTAGTTTTACAGTACAGCATGATGCTCATTTTGTCAATTGGGTTCCCATTTACAGTAAAATAGACTTTAAAGTGGGGTGTGTTTGAAGGCAGGGTTACTTTGTGGTTGACAGGTTACAGCAATTACATTGCAGTTGAATATTTTCCTGACCTGCTGCCCTTGTTTAAATGCATGTGTTTTATCTTGTGCAAGCCAGAGTCAAATTCCCTGTTTGTGTCCACAGACTTGGCCATCATAGCAGGTCCTGATTCTGATTTGTAGTGTCCTCGAGTTTTGATTCAGCTCCACCCCTCGCTTGTTGTTTCAAGACGCGTTTGGCCAAATTCTAAAAGCTTCAGACGAGGAGTCCACAAACCAATAGGTGACGTCACGGTCGCCACGTCTGTCCTTTACATGCAATGTATGGCTCAATCTATACAAAAACCCAAGTGTAAGTCATCAGGTTGTGGTCACGTGTGGGGGAGAATGTTTTGGCCAGGTGCAGCAACTTCTCGGAAGCTTCTGTTACCGTTAAGACAGAGTGTCTGTTTCTAGAAGAACATTTTGCAGTCACAGAAACAGTGAAAACAACATTTATTATACCTGATAGGAAGCCAAACAGCTGCTCGAATCGCCCTTACAAGGGTTGTTCAGAAAGCGTCTGCATTGCTACAAGCTGATAAATAATTAGGTTTGTTTAAAATTGTCTTTACAGCTTTTCCCATTTAAAGGAGGAAAATCTGTCCGGTGAATAAATAAATGATATTCAATGAGACTATTTACAATATTACATTGCTGTCATGGCCCAAGGTAAAGTTAAACTGGAAGGACAGGGAGGCCAAATGTTTGTCATGCTTTGTTCTGCTCGCTATCATCTGGCTTATGAGGCTAATTAATGTCATTACTGCAGTTCCAACCCTCACAGTCCCAGCTCCACTGTTAGGGGAAATTCGGGTGTTAATTGGATTGACGTGTTAAACCCTATTTCCTGCGTGTGAGGCGTCTCTTTTGCACACCGAGGGACCGACATGTACGAAAAAGGTTTACTGCCATCTGTAGAGTTTAGATGGGCAATGCCTCGGTTCGAGTCGATCTCATCCCACGTTTAAGCCCCCAGTAAACAGTTATAAAGCCAGAAATAGCACTGATTGAGCCTCATTCTCCTCTCTCATATAAAAACACACTCTGTGCAAGCACATTCACACGCAAAGCCGACGCTCGCATATACAGACCCGCGCATGCAGACGCTCTATTTGCGTTCCTCGTGCACACAAACACAAAGTCTGTCTATATTGTTTCTCTGTTCGACCTTTTCTTCATAACACATGCACACACGCAAATTTTCTCTATTCCTGCCCTTGTTTATTTGACAAGCTACATCAGAGCCCTGGCAGTCTGTGCTCCATTTAGATTTCCATTTATAGTGTTGAGGATGAATTATTAAAATCACCAGGAGATTTTTTTTTTTTTTTTCCCGAGCCTCTCTTTTCATAAATTTGAGGTGAACAGAGAAATTACAATGACTCTAATCATCGCTGCAATTCCCCGCCATTAAAACAAAGGCAATGAGCAGCTCATGAGAGACGGAAAACCGGTTAATGAATGCATGGAGGGAGAGGCAGACAATGGGCAAACCAAAAGCGGGTTTTGTGAAATGGAAATGGGGGGAGACTGACAGGAGCTTCTGAAAAGGCCAAGCGGAGGAGACACGCATATGATGCACATTTCTGTCTCCCAGGGGCATCAGCGGAGACGTCTGTTCTCAAATAAACATGTCACGGCGTTTAAGCGTAATGCTGCACCTTTAAGTGCGTCTGAATGTTTATTGTCAAAGGAGTCACTGCTGCACTTAGTGGCATGACAGCTCACCTATAACAACCCCTTTCCCCGGCTTCACTCTCATCCACGTTGCTCAGCTTGGCTTGATTCTTGCAAATTTTCCATTACACACTTGTGTCACTTGAAACTTTTAAGATCTACGAGTGAGTTAAAACTGTATTTTGCAGAATTTATTGTATTGTTTCAATGACCTGTGGTTTTATAATTTTGGTTTTAGCAAGAGGGTAAATGTTAGACCAGAGAGCAGCATTGTTCTTGCTGCTCGGGCTTCACTTTTAGTGCATTTCCTCGGCTTATTCAGTTCTCCGCACGTACTTAAAGTTTAATGATTAGCTCAGTTGCTAGCTCTGCACTCGAGAGAATAATGAGCTGCTGCTGGTCTGTAAAATTTCATTGAAGCTGGCCATTCAGTCCTTGTGACATAACATTGTTGTCGATTTTTCTGAACTCAAAAGCATGATCACCAAATCAAGAAACTGGTTCATATTATGTTGTGTTGACAAACCAAACAGTCACACAGTCAAACACAACATGAAGCTGAATTTAATTGGTGACCTACAAAAGTGATAATCCTAATCATCACAGTGCAACCAGTGTTAGCGTTATATAAACTCAGCGTGTGAATGGTTTTCTTCTGAGCGGCTGTGGTTCAGGTGGCAGAGTGGTCGTCCTCTGATCGTGAGGTTGGCGGTTCGATCCCTCTCCACAGTCAAAGCGTTCTTGGGCAAGACACCGAACCCGAAGTTACTCCCAATGGCAGGCAGGCGCCTTGCATGGCAGCTCTGTCGCCATTGGTGTATGAATATGTGTGTGTGTGAATGGGTGAATGAGAAAACATTGTAAAGCACTTTAAATGTCGCTAAGGTAGAAAAGCGCGATATAAGTGCAGTCCATGTTACCATTTTTTTCTTTTCTGATTTACAGAAAAGTCTCATTTCTATTCTGGTTAGAAAAGTGTTATGTTGAGCCAAGTGTGGACAAAAAGCTTTAGAGTTGTTCAACTAGTGACAAATTCTCAACCGTGGAGTTATTCCACACTCTGGCCAGGTGTGGGTTTTAAAGGAATAATAATCAGTCGACCAGTGACCACTGCACAGACACTTGTTTGGCCAGTGACTATGAAAGTCCACCTTAAAAAGCAGCTTTATTTAAATGACACGATGTCAAGAGAAAGACGAGAACGGCCATTTGGCCTGTCAGTTAGAGCCGTAACCAGGCACATGAATGTCCACGAATCCACTGTTTGTCACAGAAGAAACTGTTTTAGAAATGTCTAGAAGAATGTGTCAGAGAACTTGATGCAGTCCCCAAAAACGTCCGCTAACTTTGCCAAGCCCTTCAGGAAGAGCAGGACGTTCCAAAAGCACAGACAATCTCATTAACTGTCTGCAAATGGTGGACTCACTCGTTACTGACTCGTGATTTCTGGTCTATGTAACCTCGATCTGCCCGTTAGCATTTCCAACATGGTGCACACTTTGTAATTTCATGACGTCTATTCTGTTTAGAGATGCTGTGTGTGGGGAAAACAAATATTTATCCCTCTATGTTTAAAAAAAAATGCATAAAATTCAAAAATATTACATGCTGTCTTTTTCTATTTTTGTTCAGTTTAATTCCAGTCCACTGAATCTTGTGTTTTCTGTTTAGATTCTAAAGACTTCTCTCCTCATCTAATACCAAAGTTGGATGGCTTGTAAATGGATCATCACGGAGACAATCAGGGGCATGCGAGTGACGCCAGGAAATCATTTAAATTAGTGAAACAGATGGTCTCGTGAGCCGGGTGTTTGCATACAAACAAGGTTTTGGATCACATTGCACGGCGGAGCCAGAACAAACAGCAGGCATCGCTCTGCCGTCTGCAGGTAAACACAAACACTTTACATCGTGACAATAAGTGCTGAGTCAGGCAGACATCACCGTCCAGGGATGTCGTGGGGGAAATTACCGTTCAGCGCTCAATGCTCGAGGATAATACCCGGCACAACGAGGGAGCTAATGCAATGAAAAGAGACTAACGTGCAAAATTCCCACATAAAGGACGACGTCTTTCTGTGAGCCTTCCAAAAAAAAATCACAGGGTACCGACTGAAGGAATGTTACGGAAACATCAGAGAAACAGAAGGTGAACTGAATGCAATGAGAGCAGCAACATTTCATGTCATCACAACACTAATCTTAATGTTTTCAATCGTTTGTCTTTAAAGATGCTCTCTTTGTGGTTCATTGTAGTGAAACAAGCTTCCCATTGAATCTTTATCAGCCGCCACAGAAATGAAATGTGTATTGGACTGATATCTCAGTAGAAAGGCCAGATTTTTTCCCCATAAAAACCCAACTCCTGATTTGTAGAAGATCTGTATAAATGTATGCAGACTGCAAAATTGCATATAGGATTAAATAAATTCCATATTGAGGTTTTAATAAAAAAGACAGCCTTCAGAAAGAGACTGGATGGTACTAACCTTAAGGGGAGGGACAGGCAGAGGCTTATTGTCCTTGTCCAGCGAGATGAAGGTGAAGAAAGCTGAGGCGGCACGATATTTCTCTGCCTCCATCAGTGAGGAAGCATCTACCAGCACTTCAATTTCCATGGACTTGTTACTGACAAATGTGAGCCGCCCCGTCACCGTCACCACACAACCTTGGGGAGAAGAGGAAAAGGACACGCAGTGAAGTGGTTTTCAGATATTTTTTTTTTCTTTTTCTTGAAAATACACACAAGCGTGATGCCTTAAAAGACATTTTTGTTCAGCTTCATCCTGATTTAACAACATTTCTCAAGAGCACTTCAACTTTTCAAAAAAATCTTAATGCTACTCCATCCTTCAGAAAATTGATGCTGATTGAAAGTTTGGCAAGAATAAATAAAAAGGAAGCTGCCACAGAGTTATTGGGTTTTCCAAAAATAGAAGGAACTGCGGTGCAACAGCCTCACACCACAACTGTTAAAATCACCTGAAAACTTTGAGTCAAACACGACAACGTTCACTTTCAATAATGTAAGCTGAAATTCAACTGAGCAACTTGATGTGCGGTTACAGGGAACATGAGCTTAGCATGAAATCAATCGAGGAAAACGTAAGATCTGCTTTTGCAATCTGCTTCACGAGGTTGCATCATGGACCTTCTTGAAGTTCGTTCCACCGAGAGAGTCGACAGGCCGGCGAGACAATCAGCGTCAGATTAATTCTGTTTAGAAATACACCTTGTTTAATTCACTAAGATAAAAACAGAAGTTAGAAATCTTCTCAGAGATGCAAATCTTTGTTACCGCATTTAGACACATCTCAGAGCGTCTGAGACCCTCTAATTCATCCACATCTACCTCTAATGCGTTTGACTCATCAAAAAAAATGTGATCTCTTCTCCTTTTGTGACGGCGTCGATGTGGAAAAATCAGTCAGCTAATAGCACCGGGCATTACTGATGTGTTTCTTCATTCGCTTTGATGTGCCTGTACTGTATTACTACTGCTGTTGCCATAGAGACGAGGAGAGAAGGTGTTATCCCTGCAGTCTGAGACACATCTCGAGTGTGTGACTGAGGTCTTATGAAACTGTAAAAGTTCTGAATAATACAAGATGTACATGGAAGAAAATACTTTTTGTGCCTGTGTGCGAGTAGTGAGTGTGCGGGAATGTTTGTTGATGTGTCCTTTAACGTCTGACAGGGTTTTAGGCCTCATCGCATTACCTCAAGAGGCTTTTTCTTTTTCCCAGACAGCTATTGTAAATAAGACTTTGTTCTTAATAGCTTGCCTGGTTAAAAAAGGCTAAATACAAACTATATATATATATATGTATTATCAGAACTTTTTGTCCAAGAATTAGACTTTCAGTTATTAAGCTCTTGTACTCAAGCTTATGCTGTCATGCAAAAGTACCAGTAAAGACATGATGATGGAGTCAGTTGGGGTTGGGCACAGACAATAGGTGGCTATGGTTTGTTTCCAGTCTCCTTCTACATTCTCGTAGAGTAATCGTAGAAACTAGACTTGCTTGAGTTCCTTGAAGACGTTTCACCTCTCATCCCAGAGGCTTCATCAGTTCCGAAACGTCTTCAAGGAACTCAAGCAAGTCCAGATTAATCTACGAGAATAACCACGACCTAGATGACTGAGAATCTTCACAGACATCCTTCTACATTCCTTGACTGTACCCAAGCAGTGTTATAAATACTAGATTTATAACACAACTGTTTTTAGTTTTCAGACGTGTTCCACGGTGATGATCCTCCGGGCTTAAGTCTTTCTTTTTTACATATATATAATGTTTTGGATATAGCATTCAAAATAAACCCTTAGACTGAATACAGCACAGACTGGGAGCAATCCCAGAAGACTGCAGACAATCCAACTAAATATTCTTTGGTTACAGCAAAGAAATCTATAACTCGACACTGGTTCAGTAAACACACCTTCCCCAGGAGGAAGTACAAACAGAGAAGTGTACGAAATGGAAAGAAAATACCCATAAACTGAAAGTACAAATAAAAATATATGAAAAAAAACCCATAGCAGCTCCTTCTAACAATGTTTTAGTCCATAAAACAAACAAAAATAAGCCTGAAAATCAAATGTTAATGTCATCACGCAACTCTGCTATTAAGAACTGTAATATATACGTATTAGAAATGTTTCTTCTTTGATTTATTTTTTCTTTTTTGGCATTTATTTTGTTTGTCACAGAGATAAATCGGCACTATCTTGGAGTCTAGTATCTAATTCCTACATATCCGTGACTCTGCCAAGCATTGTTGTCTCCAATTTCAACAATATTAACGGTATTTTTCCTAAAATGCCACAGTGTCCAAACAGCGGATGACAATAAAATGTGATTTTGTGTGTGTGTGATGAGAAATACTGATTCCTAATGTTAGTCTCACCCTTTCATCAAATACGTGTTATGAGATCACATCACCGTTATCATCTCTTATGTCGTCTTACAGCCGAAGAAATTTGAGAAATTACATCAAACTGAGTGAACAACAACAAAAGGCTGATCAAGTACAATGACTGTGTACCAGAATGAGAGTTCAATCATTTCCGTGCGGTTTGCTAACCCCCGTCTATACACCGAGACCATTTATTTCCTTTTCTTGTCATCCGGCCCTTTGAGCGTTTCTTACATGTCGCTGCCAAGCGCGAGTCCGGTCTCGTTCAGACAAACTATCCGTGGTGCAGATGCATCATGCTCAGTGAAGTGTGCGCTGCTCAGTGACATTACACAAAAATGAGCCTTGATGATGGGTGATTAATAATTGATTTATGCAGAAAGTAGATCTTGGGCTTGATCTTGCAGCACTGAAGGTCAGCCAACATGAAAAACTGGTGGAGTCCCATTTCTGACGAGTTGTTTGATGTGGCTAATGTGCCGTGATGGATGTGCCAAGTCCACGCGCAGGTTTTATGTTTTATGCACCGACTGTAACAACTCTGAACAGCAGATTTGCTATTTTAGTTGCAGCCTACATGAGTAAAGTTTGGGATTTTGCTCTTCTGACTGATTAGCAAGAGGCATAACTACTTCCCCTTGTGTTTACAATAAAAGTTCATTTAAAATGCTCAAAGCTCCATTACTTTTCCATCTAAACATTTGGTTTCAGTCTAAACACAAAACCGAGCGCTCCGTCTTTCCGCCAGTCACGCATCATTTCGTATTTCGGCAAACAGCACATAGAAATGTCAGGACTGTTCTAATCATGTTTGATCAATGAAATGAAATTCGAAATGAATAAACAAGAACAGCATTGCGAGGGTGAGCACGATGCCGCACGGTTCCCTTTATTTCTTTCTCTCGCACTTTTGCTCCCACCTTCAGAGCTCCCTTTGCTGAAACGTCCTTTCATCCACAACTCAGCTTTTGAAGTTGTGTGTCTTTTTTTTCCTCATTATTTGTACCTCTGGTTGTCTCACTGTAATGGATCAGGGAGAAGAGCATTGACTCGACTCTCCTATAGTACATCAATAGCTAAAGCCTCGCTGGCTTATATTCTCGGAGCTGAATAATCCACATTATTGTTCGATGCGACATTGCAGTTATTGTGCATTTTGCAAAAGTCTAGGGTGAAAAGTGTGTGATATCAGGTTTGGAGCTGTCACAGAGCCAAGGATGTTTTAGCTATGAAGTTTTACATATAATTTGTTAATATTTTATAATATTATTACACAAGTATTATAAAACAATGCACAAATCTGCATGTTGCTCAAAACATGCAAAAGAAATTTGCTGTCGTCAAAATAATAATACAAAAAATAAATGAAAATGAAGATAATAATTTTTTAAAAATGCAAATCAGAACAGGGTTTCTGCATATTGGACCTCACCAATTTATGTGCCCAACACATTTTCTCCACGTTTTTAATCAAGAAGAGACCTCTTGAAGTATAGCAAGTCTCTGGAGAGCTTCAAGTGTTGATATATAGTAAACAGTAAATTGGGTGACAAATGAGGTGTGAGATGGAACACAACAGGAAGTCACATTAGTAAATGGGAAAACGAAAAAGTAAGCTCACAAGCAACTAATTTACCCGTAATGCCTTGATTTAATGCAAACTGTACTCTTAATCTTGTTGATAAATATAAACACACTCTTAATGAAATGATTCCCACAATAAGTGTTTTTATGTTCAAAGCACCTTCCTTTTTTGTATTTCACGTGTAAAGTTCTGTATTATATTTGTCTCTGTCAGGTTGTGGTTGCAAGTTGAACAAGCTAAACTTTTTTTCTGGTCTTCTGTCTTCTCTCTCTAAACATATATTGCAAACCTTGTCTTAGAATCTGATCTTTGTGCTGTTGAACGATTTTAGATGTTTTGTGCACTGAGGAAAGTGGATTATTCAGGGTAGATACAGCAGGAACAGACCTCAGTTTATGTTCAGAGTCTTAACTTCCTGCTTTAGAGAATTTAATGTTAATTTTATCGATTTGTCGTCACTGTCATATCCACTAGTTTCATGTGACTAGTTTCATTGTTTATCGATGGACACTTAAAGGGAAAATTCCACCTTCTGATATTCAGGTATCATCAGTCTGTCTCCGTTCCAACAGTCACAGCATCTTATTATGAACAACTTCAGTTTAGTTTTCAGCTTATATGCTAATGTCATCTCCTGTTCTTTTACCTAGAAACAGCAAGAACATTTCACACCAGTTGATTACACCTTCCATTAGGATTTAATGTATTACAGAACAGTGTGTTTCATCATGTAAATACATTTCTGAGCTCTTATACGATGTCAGACCGCCAGACCTTCTATACATTATGGAAAGAAACATGCTTGCTGTTCCGAGAATGAGAACAAAGATCTGTGAGCCTTTTTGAGATATTGCAGGCCACACTAATGGAACAAATGACCAAAGGTCTAAGGTTTTAAATAGATGTAATACACTTTGGAACTATTCACCAGTCTACCTGGTTTTCTAGCAGCAGATCAGCGGAGAAATAATATCATGATTTGTAAGCGTCCTTGGATAGCCCTTCTATCTTAGCCAGAAGCGACAAATCTCATTTTAGGTTATTTCTTTGGCCTTTTTGCCTTTATTAGATAGGACAGTTGAGAGAGACAGGAAAGTGGGGGAGGAGAGAATGGGGGAAGGACTTGGAGCCATGAGCAGGATTTGAACCCGCTGCATCGGGTACGATAGCCTCTATACATGGGTCGCCAGCTCAACCAGGTGAGCTAAAGCGGCAGCCCACAAATCTCACTTTTAATAGCTGTACCCTCAAATGTCTGTGCAGTGGCAGTACAAAATATTAAACAGCACAAAAATCACCCTTTTTTTTAGACTTACAGCTATGAAACGGCGACACATTGTGATGTGTTATGGCTGCTGTCAGTGAACCGGTTTTCTCATTTTCAAATTTTGGATTTTAAGAGAATATTGATGCAAAATAGTAGAAATTAATCTTTTTGATGTTTGGGTGCTTTAAAATGGTTTTAACCTCTGAAGTAACTGTGCTGAAAATATCTCAAAACAAGAAGAAAACTTCATAAAATGACAAAATATCCAAATCCAGAGATTTTTCTCCTTTTTCTTTGGAGCCCTTTTCTTTCCAAACGTGACAATTATTTTCCTAAACTCACCTCTTGTGTTTTTTGTCACCCTGCCTATAGCAAAATGGGAAATCTACTGGTGACATAACACCCAAGTCACTGTGGCAGCCAGGGGAAATCATGTCAACACCGGCTAAACTGTGAGGACAGACGGAGGTAGCAACTGGAGCAACCGGGAGCAGATGAAAGATGTGGACACGGATCTCTACCAGTCTGCACTGTTGAGTTTTCTGGTCCTGAAATTCCCGAAAAGGTGTGTTTTAAATGTTTTAAAACATCCTGCCACTCACTGCTTCTCACTCAGACCTCCTTGGAAAACACTGAGTGAATTATCCTGCTCGAATAAGTCGCCTGTGTTTGAAAATAAATGTACTGTATACGCAGAGTTGTTGGAGCTGACCTGGCACAGTTGTGCTGAGCTGTGAAATATAAAATGCTTCTACCACTTCATAATTCAACAGTGGGTACAGATGCTGCTGGTCTATTGTTAACATCATATCCTGGGGTAATCATAACATCGGAATGTTAGCATTGGATGTCTGGATCACATTGTGTTCAGCACATAAAAAGAAACAGGCATGAAAAAGTCAAGCAGCGAACATATTCCACTGGACGTACACTCACTGGGTACTTCTATTTTTAATATAATATCTAATCAGTCAATTATACGGCAGCAGCTCAATGCATTTAACCCTATTCAGGACTTTTGGACCCAAGGCCATTTGGTTTAGGTGTTTTTTTTGTTTGTTTGTTTGTTTTTTTAATATAAAAAGAGGGACATTTGTCATGCATTTGTAACCAAAAATACGTCAACTTATCAGAAAATGTATTTAACAGAGTATAAAAGTCTGTAATGAATACTAACAAACATCCAATGGACCCTGAAAGACCTTCTGTGTACGGCAACATGAGAGTCCTGAATAGGGTTAAGCATGTAGACATGGTCAAGATGACCTGCTGAAACTCAAACCGAGCATCAGAATGAGGAAAGAAAGGTGATTTAGGTGACTTTACAGTGCTGTGGTTGTTGGTGCCAGACAGGCTGGTCTCACTATTCCAGAAGCTGCTGATTTACTGAGATTTTCACTCACAACCATCTCTATAGGGTTTACAGAGAACGGTCTGAAAAAGAGAAAGTATCCAGTGAGCAGCAGTTCTCAGGGCAAAAATGCTTGTTGATGCCAGAGTTCAGAGGAGAATGGCCAGACTGGTTCAAGATGATAGAGAGGCAACTCCAACAACCACTTGTTACAGTCGAGGTATGCAGAAGACCATCCTGAACGCACAACCTTGAAGCAGACAGTCTACAGCAGCAGAAGACCACACCAGGTGCCTCTTCTGTCAGCTAAGAACAGGAAACTGAGGCTACAATTCACACGGACTCACCAAAATTGGACCATAGAAGGTTAGAAAAACGTTGCCTGGTCTGATGAGTCTCGATTTCTGCTGCCACATTCAAACAATAGGGTCAAAATTTGGGGTAAACAACATGAAAGCTTGGATCCATCCTGCCTTGTAGCAACGGTTCAGGCTGGTGGTGGAGTAATGGTGTGGGGAATATTTTCTTGGCACACTTTGGGCTTCTGAGTATCAATTGAGCATCATTTAACATCGCCTAGCATCATTACGGACCCTGTCAATTCACCCATTTTCTGATGTCACAAAGCTCAAATCACCTTAAACTGGTTTCTTGAACAATGAGTTCTTTGTACTCCGGTGGCCTCCACAGACTCTAAATCACAATCCAATAGAGCACCTTTGGAATGGGGTGGAGCGGGAGATTTGCATCATGGATGTGCAGCCGACAAATCTGCAGCAACTGTGTGATGCTTTCATGTTAATGTGGACCTGAGGAGCATTTCCAGCACCATGTTAAACCTATGCCATGAGGAGTTAAGGCAGATCAAAAGGCAAAATGGGGTCCAACCCAGTACTGGCATGGTGTACCTGATGAAGTGGCCGGTATTTGTAGCTGTTTGTTCCTTACATTCTCTCTCACTAACAGTATTTACCAATAGTATTTATTCATAATAATAAAACCTGAGTGTCATACTTACCAGGATTTTAAAACTGTTGCTCTCAGGTATGAGATGTTATAACGCTCAGTGTTGCAAGACTGGTTTAACTTGCAATGCAGGTCTCAGGCCAGAACTGAAACACAACTCAGCTGTCATTAAACTGCGCTGCGTGATTTGCACCACAACCATTAGGCCTGATTATGTCTCTGTGTGTGCATTTGAGTATACTTCATGTGCTCACTTGGATTTGCTCCTGCAGAAAGTGTCCCTAAAGCACTTTGGATCAGCTCTGCTGTCCAAACAGTGCTGGCAATAAAACCTTTAACCGCTTGCTCAACTTTCACAATGGAAAAGCAGTATAAATAGAATCACTATTGTCACTGGACACTTTTTTTATTTCACCACTATGATGTCAGAGGCTAAGTGGATAATGGTATTTGTCGAAATTCTTGAATGAACTTCCAAAATAAGAGGCTTAGAATTGGTCCGTTTGGAAATCTGGGCCTCAGTCAGCAGGAGGCATTATACAACAAATACAGTATAAATAGACAAAGCTTGGTAATGGAAAATAGTTGAATCATTAACAATGCTGTGTTTTGTTTTTTTTCCAGACACAGTGGCAGCCCTGCAAAACACAACTGGTCTTGATTAGCAGCAGTGTGACAGTCGTTAACGTTGGCTCGGCCAGTTTAAAAGCAGCACCGTCTCAGGCTGGATTTAAAGACTGCAGAGTTTTTCCACATTACCGTCTAATTGGGTTTTTAGAGAGTGCAGTTCATTAACGGGCAAAAGAAAAGCAGCTTCACGTAGACACAGACTCCTTCAGGTCGACAGATTCACATCGACTTTATGTATCAGTGTCCTTTAGCTCTGAGCTTTGTCTCTCTGTGTCATCCTCACCTTTCTTGATCTTGCGATGGAAGTTGATGACATCCACGGAGGCAGTGACGACGTTGGTTCTGCAGTGCCGAAACGCCGTGAGGCCGGCGGCTTCATCCATCAGCTTCATGGTCACACCTGTGGCAGAGACACGCAGTTTGACTGTATTAATATACACAGCACAGCCAAGCAGGAAGATTAATAGATGCTTTGTTTTACTGTGCCTTGTTCTGATTAATGTGTTTCAGTAATGACTGCAGACGTTACTGCCCCAGAGAGACAAACTGTCTGGTTCAAACTGAGAACATTTTCCATCCATCCATCCATTATCTACACACCGCTTAATCCTCACTAGGGTCGCGGGGAGCTGGAGTCTATCCCAGCCGACTTAAGGCAAAGGCAGGGGACACCCTGGACAGGTCACCAGTCTATCACAGGGCTACACTTAGAGACAGACAACCAAGCACACTCACATTCACACCTACGGACAATTTAGAATCACCAATTAACCTCAACATGTTTTTGGACCTCGTGGAAGGAAACCGAGAAGCCGGAGAGAACCCACGCTGCACAGGGAGAACATGCAAACACCATGCAGAAAGATCCCGGGTGTCCTCACCAGGACCGGCGACCGTCTTGCTGTGAGGCAACAGTGCTAACCACCGAGCCACCTTGCAGCCCTGAGTACAATTTGAATGTCATTTTTCCAACAAGACCTTGAAGTCCTTGAAGTTATGTCCTTTACTAGTAATACACTTATTCTCAAAAACTTTGAACACTCCCATTCAAAAGTAATCTCATTCTTTTAAAGAAAATCATGCTATGCAGCTGAAAATGAGTTTTGAGAATGAACCAACACTGACCAACTGTGCAACAAAGACTTCAAACTCCTGCCATCACCTGTGATGCTTCAATTTCACTTTAAATTTTAAAAAAAAAGCCTTTAAAGGTAAATGTAGCGCCCAAATTGCAAGAATTCTTGGCCTTGTTTGAGACACTATTTCAGTGAGATGAGATTGTTCGATTTAAAAGCTAATGGGTTTCCTGATGCAATTAGAAAACTATCCTCCTGGAGCTAAATTATGAATGAGTCTGCTTGCCATTTCCTCAACATTAGCTTCTCGTTCAGACTCATTAGTCTGATGTGTATCAGAAGTGCTTCAACAGACTTTTATCCTGCATGATTTTCAGCTGACAGATGCTGTGAACGCTCAATAGTTCGCTGCTTTATTAATAATTCAAGTTCACCTCTTTAAAATACAGCCTGTTGATCGACTGTGAACAACATATAATAAACACTCCAAACGCTCCAGTCCAGTTAATTACTCTCCATCCATTTCTCGCCAGAACATCAAAAGAATTACTAAGTTCCATTTACATTTTCATAATCAAGCTCTTGCAGTTGTGCACACAATGACTTTTCCTCTCTGGGTGCCAAGACTGAAGTGCTGTAACACTGTTATACCTGCAAGAAAAGTCTAAGGAGGTGGTTGCCAGGCAACCAGCAGAAAGTCCATAAACTTACTGCTTCTGGCCAACATGTAATCCTGGACATTACTCTGAGAAAAACCACCATGTCTTGTTGTTTAGACTCTGTTGCAGATTAAACAAACAGGATAGAAAATGGTGATTGGTGAGCTTTGGAGATGCTTGCTTTCTGTTGTTTTTGGTCTTTGTGCTGGTAGAAGTCTAAATTCATTTAAATCTGCGTTTAAATAGTTAAAATGCTATGATTTAGGTACATGGTAAAACATTCATAATTTAAATTGATTAAAGAGGGATTAAACACAGTATTTACAGTGTGTACAGGTAGATTTTATAGTGATACAGTAAGTAAGAAATGTTATTTCTTGTGCTTAAAGTGTGTGGATGATTTAAAATATTTAACAATTTCATTTAAAGAATGTTGTAATACGTGGGATAGGCTGGGTGTGATCTTCCCCACAGTTCACCTTAAATTGACAGGATGTGGCCTCTGTTTTTATCAGTTTTTCTTTTAGAAGAGAATAATTATTTTCGTACAAGTTTTGTACCATCTTGTGCGCATGTATCTGGTAAAAAGTTGAACTTTTTCAATTGGTCCTGTGGATTCTTTCTTCAACGTGAATTACCAAGAATCTTGAGCGCATACAGCTGATGGTTTCATTAATTGGAACCTAGACTAAGTGAAGCAGTTTCACATGTGCCACACAAACATGACAGTGGTATCAATCTTCTTGTCTACCTCTCAGCAAGAAAGCAATTAAACATAATTCCCAAAATGTTGAACTATTCCTTCCCTGCTTTAACTAAGTGGCGTTATTTGCCTGAAGCAGCCGTGAACCATCAGAAAACACTGATGTACTGTACGGTGCTTTTGGAACAATCATAGAGAACAGTGATAAATTATTCATTTTCATGTTTATTTATGAGGACTTCTTGGTGTCGAGCTCAGCAGGCTTGCAACAGTTACAGTTAGCTCACGGTGATACAGTAGAAGCTTGTGTTTGTTATGTGACACCGATGCGTAAAACACACACGCAACACAACATCCACAAAGATGGACAACACCTCATTGATTTTTTTTTTCTGCAGGAAAGGTTCCAAGAACGGGGAGCACGTGGTCATCAAGTCTTTATCAATGACTGCATGCTCAATGACCACATTGGAATTCAATGTGAGTGAAAGGAATCCAGTGAATATCTGAGATAAAGCAACTAACATCTAACCGCCGCCTTGCAAGCTGACAAGAGCCGAGCATTTGATTAAAGAAAAGACAGATTCTGGGTGAAGTATCACATTTCTTAATCAAAGAATCCATCATCAAAAAGTTTGCAGAGCACTTTCTCACACACACAAAAAAAAACTGGCAAAAGATCTGAAGTGCGAGAAAACACTTGGAGCAGGAAATCATATTTTACAGATTACATTAAAGCTTGAAACACGTTCTGACATCCACTAATGGGGCAGAACTCACAGAGCGGACACCGAGGAGTTCACAAATCTACACCCATGTCATGCATGCGGCCTTGGCAAGCTCGTTTCATGTGTAGAGGAACCAGTTGTGTTCTAACAGAAAGTAGGACATCTTGTATGGAGTGGGTGGGCTGGAGATGAGAGAAGCAAGGGAGAGTATGTAAGCTGCTTCTCATCTCCCAGAAAAACGTGTGCTCATTTAAAGACAGTCAGACTCCGCGCGAGACACTCCAGTTGCCCCGGTTGTTCCCTCTGAGTTGCTTTTTTGTATCTCTCATGTTACAGAAAATCAATAAGTGTGCTTGCTGGTGGCTGAATCGTCTCCCAAAGGTTCCCACCATCTGCACTGTGTGGCTCTATTTATGACAGCCAAATGTGTGGGAGTACAAACAGAATGTGCTGCTTTGCTCCCAAATGCAGCATTCACTGTAAAAGTGGGCCCACGGAGTTGATTAAGAATTAAGCATGCAATTACTTTACCATCCTCCTATGCCAAATGGTCGGAGTATCACTTTTATTTTGCTGAAAAAATACCCATATGCGCATTCTGCTCAACCTAAACCTAATATATATATTCATTAGGGGGCACCTAACTTAAATGTCCAAAGGGATGTTTCAAAAAGGTTTGACTTTAACGCGATTATGAGTCAGATCTTTTGTTCCGTCGCATGAAAACCTCCATTATCTTTAAATCAAATCAAAAACCCACCAACCAATAAAGCATAAAACGCTCCCTGATTGAGGCTGACTATGTGGCCACAGTTCAAAGAAGTGACAACAGCATGTCAGACTTAAACTGTGTGTGGACAAGGAGATATATCCCTTCCTTCTTTAGGCCTGTTACAAAGCATTTTCCAAAAACCCATCTTGTTTTTTTTTTTTTTTTAAACCTCTCCTCATCTCCACTATGTTGTGAAAATTGATGGGATCTCACCTAAGATTGAAAATTTCCCCTGGGTACGAGGCTCCTCAAAGCTTACAATGGTCGTGTCTGAGCATGTAACACTTAATGGAGATGGATCACGACCTGGACGAGATGATGAAATTGAATGTAAACGCAGCATTACACTGAAGCGTTGGACCTTTCAACCTGAGTTGGTTAGAGTGGCCCACAGACAGAAATTTCTTCAAAGCCCACTGCTGATATTTTGAACTTTAAATTCAGACTGACTTTAAAAAACACTGACAGTAATAAAAATTAAATGGTTACCTAATAAAATTTAGAGTAGGAGGCAGCTGGTGCTAAACCAAACTCAATTAGTCTACCTTACAGCGGCCATAATCAATATATTTTTATGTATTTTACATTGAAAGTGTCACAAAGGACTACTTTCATGCCAGCGGGGCCCAACTCCGCAGTTTAATCCCAGTTCTCCAGATCTTCATCACAACTTCTCACTTTATTTCAGTTTTCAGCCCCCTAACATTCGCTCTCACAGATTTCATCAGTGTTGTTTTCAGCCGTACCAAGCAGCTGTTTCTAGAGAAAAACCTGCTACCTGCTCAGCACCATACGTCAGGCAAAGATAGCAACCAGCTGGTAATTATAGTGAAGCATTTAGCTGCTAAAAAGACATTTGCCTCAGGGCTGAGCAAAATAAGGAGAGAGAATATCAGACTGATAGTATTGCGATTACAGTGTGCCTGCTGGCAAGAAATACAATTACGAATGAAGGTACTCTGTTTCTGTTCAATATGTAAATAAGCAACAAGTTCTGTGTCTTTGTCTGGTTTTTAATTTTTAAAAAAAATTAAAAATGTAAGAACAGGGCTGGATTTTACACTGTTGACCTTCTAAACTCAAAAAAACACGTGGGTTCGAAAGGCAGGTTCTTGAAAAAGAAAAACAAAAAGAAAAAAAAAAGCCAGAATTAAAGCTGTAACAGCATCAGAAACTGTAAAAAACAGAATGAATTGACACCATTTCAACTTTTCAATAGTTCTTGAAATGATCATCTGTGGAGGGCCAATCCAACAGGAAACCAAACGTAAGCCTAAAATCTTAATATTTTATCAAATTAAGTTAATTTTACACATCTCAAAAAAAAAATAATCAAAAATTTAATTTGCTCGGGCACCCCGGGAGCTCAGCCGGATGAGACAGCGACCCATGTACACCGGCTACAGTTCCTGATACAGCGGCCGCGGTTCAAGTCCAGCCAGCGGCTCATTTGCTGCATGTC